CCACTGGTCTCGTATGCCCGAACCTTTACCGGGGATGGGGGTAACCGTGCAAATGCAATCACGCGACAGTCTGGAGCTGCCAGATCACGCACCATCCACCAGCATTGGGACTGCACCGTCACCTGTCCCCAGTTCCGATAGTGAAACCGAAACGCCTGAGATTGAAGCAGACATGAGTGGTGCGCAACCAGTAGGGCACGAAACGAACCTCACTGCTGAGACCGACGCGGATTCCACTCGACCCATTGTCGTCCTTCCTCCCTCATCCAGTCCGGCTCACTCAGTCGAATCGGCCGATAGTCGGTCATCCGGATTTTCCGGGTTCGAACAAAACGACTATATGATGGAATTGCAATTGGACGATGAATTAAGTTTGCCCGTGGCACAACCGGGTGGTCCGGCTGAGCAGAGCACATCTCATTGCACGCGATCTCCACCATCCACTGTGGTTTCCGAAGTTTGTGTGCCTGCAACGAACACCACTTCACCGTTTCACTAGAGACCATCACATTCATTGATGGTCCGTTGAACCATCTTCATATTCGGTGACCATTTTGTAGATATTATATACTGCGACGACGACGACGACTATTCCACTGGACACTTTCTTTGATCTGCGATTTTATGAATCGTCTTGTTTTTTTCTTTCTTTTTATCTCATTCTCTCGCTCTCACTCTCTCACTCCCTGTTTCTTTGACACACTTCTATGACCGTACACAACCATCTTTTCCGCCCTACCCTATCTTTCTTTACCTTAATCGTTCTGCCACCACCCCTAACGGGCCCACAGTTACTCACCTCCATTCTGTTTTCCGTGAGCGCGCGCGCACCGATAGACTATCGTCCTACCGCTTAGACACACACACACACACACTGCGAAATATCAGTTTGCCTGTTTATTCGGATCCACCACATCTCATTCACCAACCTATCGAATACTTACTTTCCATTACAGGATACCCGAAGTCCCCTTTTTCTTTCCGCTCTATTCGATATGACCCCTGTGCTACTATTTTCTCTAGGTTACGGTTACTATACTACAATAGTACCACATCATCACGCACATGAATGAACATACACGTGATCTACTCCATTTTTCTTTTTTTGTTTTGTTTTGTTTTTCTTTTCTAAAAATGCGATGCGTTTGACTGTCTACCTAATGTCTGGTAACACTCAATCTATCTCTTCCACCGGCCTATCCACCCAGTGAATTGAAGGAGTCATGCAAGGAGAAGCTGGACATCCTTTGAATGGTACATCCCAACCACACTCCTCCGTTATTCGCCCACACCACACCACACCACCATCCCAACCAAATCTCATCTACATTTGTTCGGTACTTTGGTGCTCATGACCCCCAACATCGCGCCTTTCTCCATTTTGCATTCTTCCCCTTCCTAGTTGCTCTATCTGGTGAGCACTGCGTAGACTGCTGTTATTCCTCAATACTCTATATCTTGTCAGTCCTGGTGACTAAGCATTCGGATCCCACGAAAATAGTACACTCCACGGCACTTATCAGCCCTTCCAATCAACCTTGCTGCTCATCCTTCTTCGTTCTTCTCTCTCTCTCTCCCCTCTCGAGTGCACCGGAATTTGTTAATCCGAGTTCCAATGTTGTCTCCTAATCAAAGTGTCTGAAACTTAAACCCTGTAGGCGACACACAGGCCTCATGGTATATACGCATACATGCATACATACATATATACAAACACATATATATACACATACCAAACAATAGCTCCAGTGAATCTGATCAAGCCCGACCCTCCTCCATTTTGGCCATCCCTTGGGCATCCCACTATTCGTTCCCGTACTTTCTTGTTTGTATCGATGTTGCACCCTGGAGCAACGCACCTCCTACTATCATGCTCTCTCCGCTCTGGGTGAGTACAAATTGTACATATCTGTTCTTGCATTTCTCCGTTTCAGCGCTACGTGACGCTGCTCTCTCTTGCTCTCCTTCATCCACCCGCATCACCCCCCAATCACCTCGTTTGTCGTGTCTGTCCATTCTCTCTCTCTCCCCTCTCCTGTTCTTATCTCCCCTTCTCATAGTCGATAATTGAATGGTCTTAAAAGAAGAATTGATTTTTTTGTGTATATAGTTTCGCATTAATCGGAACAGGTCGACAGATCGTCGGTTGTGTTGCGTTAAATGGGTAACCGGTATGCAATCGTTACTGGGCCAATGTTTTGAAACATTACTGTTGACCTGGGATAGTATTTTTTACCCAGTTCCTTCATTCTAAGAATGTTGATGTATGTCAAAGTGGCCAGACGATAGTGATTAATTGTGTTAGTACTTCAACGACGAGAAACTTACTACGAGTTTCACGTAGAAGTGATAAATTTCCTGTTTTGCCCATCGCAGTCGCGCAGTAACGGCTTTCGATTCGAATGCTTTTGTATTTAATACAATTATGCCCACATTGGTTGAGTAAGATGTCACTCATCGATCGCCGACCCATAGGGACGGATTTCCCGATACAGATATCGATCGCTGAATTCTAGTGTTTAATGCAGTTCACATTTTAATGAGTGCCCCTAGTTCTGTAGCAAATTTGACTTCGTTCTGATCACTAATAAAGGATTTCTTTTGGTATAGTTTGCAATTTGATGCAATCTGATAGTAGTGTGTGTGTGTGTTGATCTTATCGTGTGGAGTTTGTTTATGTCAATGAATCTGCATGCATTGAGCAAAAGCATTCCTACATTGAAAGGGTAGTGTCCGTCGACCGCATAAGCTCGAAAATATACGTTACGGCTACAAACCGCAAAGTTTGTGTTTCGTGTTCCGGTGCGGTCACGAAAGTACACGCTTCTAATGAGTACTAACAAAAATGAAATAACACTCCAGTTTTATCCCAATCCGAATTAATGAGGATCGAATTATCTCGGTGTGTTTGAATAGGACCAGTTGAAAATAATGAAAGTTTATCTGTTGCGAAAATTAACAAATAACANGGGGGGGGGGGGAGTGAATTTAGGCTTGATGGACTGCTGCATAAATCCAACTGAATTTTTGCTCGTCAGTCAAACAGATATCCGCAGCAAACGATAGAGCCTGACAGTCCTCATTGAGCGTTTGTGCAGCTAGCTATACCTAGAAACCTGAATTAACCCGTCGGTTTTACTATCTGTACCGGATTTTGCGGTGTGTAAAACCTGAGGAGGAACAACAAATCACTGCACGTTCGTAAAGAGTTGAAACTGAATGAATTTTGGCTGATAGTTGATCACTCGAAGAACGAGTGTTGGTATATGGGCGCCATAAAAATAGCAAAAACAGCGGCATAGATGATCCATCAAAAAGTTAAAAACTATGCGTGCAGTTTTTCGAGATTAAGTGCAAAGGAAAGGCATTCAACCCACCGTTATTTATGAGTAGTGGTTTGGCATAATTGATATTGGTTTGATCTGACCATCCGTCAGAATTCACATTCACGCAAAATCCTCAAAGCATCATCCAGTCAAACACACACAGTGGTAACAGACGCCTTCCATGCAATGGGTCCGGAGTTCAAAGTTCGGACGGGACAGTGAATATGTACTGCTGATGAGCTCTAATACGAGCAAAACTCGAGTCTATGGTGCTTCCGAATGTGTGGTTGACTGGATGAACTGAGGATTGTGTGCATGAAGGTTAAGTACGAAGGATGGCCAGTTTAAATCAACATCGAATAAATCTCTGACTATTAGCCCGAGGAAGAAATATACCCTGGTTGCTATTGTAGGCTATAATTAGCGATCGTCTAATGGAATTCTTCCTCGATCTCCTCTTGAAACCTCGGTTCGAATGTGTGCAAGAACATGTAGCTAGTATTCCAGAAGGTTGATCGAATGTTACAAGTGGAATTCAAGATCAGAGGATATCGAAAAAGATACCAAACAATTCGTAACTTGTGTATGTATGCGTAAGGTGGAAACCAGCTTGATGTTGTCTCACCGATAAGGTGATTTGGTCACAAGTGGTCCTCAGTTCGCAACGTGACTAAATAATGTTGTGGTCTAGTGCAGATCGTGAGAAGTACATAGGACTGTGAGCTCAGCAGTTTTGCACGGACGTCGAGCATGTTATTTCAATCGCTTTGGTCAGTCTGTGCCACCGGACTCATTTGGATCGTCCTACGAGTCACTCGGGGTATGACCCTCAACACTGGAGTTGCATATTCGCGGTGAACAGCGACCATGAGGCGTACGGAGATGACACGGACGGATAACCCTTGTCCTTTTTGATTTAGCCAATGTGTATGATGTTCTTTCTTACCCGGACAAATGATCACCAAGTCGTGCAGCTGACATAAAAAAATACATTTATATGGATGTATATCAGGATGTTGCACGAGTTTGTTTAATACCTAAATGTGTATCAGTAATTTTAACCTATTCTTCGATGCTAAAAATTTGAACTTCAGGAGCTGCTCATCAAATGTCTTTTCAGATGCGCAGAGTAGAAACTTCACCCATAAAACAAATCTCGGCTGATCATAAATCAGGTTCTCCGATTGGCTGTACAAACGTCGTGTGGGGACAAATTGTATAACGACTTGGTGCAGTAAAATAAGCGACCGGGTCACAAACTGCCAAATGTACAGGGTTGTCAAGGGTGAGTGAGCCCTGGAATGAGAACTGGTATTTTATAACTGAAGTTAGATCACAAATCTTGCGGGTGGTCTGATTTGATATTGTATTGGTTGGTATCGGAACTAGGGGATAGAACTGATTAGAATCGGATGTGAGAAATCGTGAAAAATCGTTGTTTCCACGTGGGTGTTGGATGACCAGAAGAACACCCAAATGCGCAAACCAGATATCTGTGGGCAGCCTGACTGTGTTCTCATATTTCCAACTAGACCAGTCGCGACCGAACGAAATTAGTCGATGGGTAAAAACAGGTTTTTTTCTGTAAGGTTGGCTTCTTATTAACTAATCCAATCAGCTTTTCGCCAACACCACGTTGCAGGTACATAGTGATAATTTGTGTCCGGTTTGTCGTTTAATCCAACCGTGGCCGGTAAAGTCAGTTGAGTAAAGGGAAGTCATAATTTCAGGATAAAGTGGAAAAGAGGAAAGGGTAAAGAGGAAAAATAACGAGAAGGAAAGGCACGATGATCAATGTAGTCAAAAAATCCGGACAAAGGCACTAAGTTCATCATCAATAAATGTAAATAGTAAATAAAATAAATTGTGAATGTGTATCATTTTATTTTTAACACCTGGAAAAATTTGAGTTAAATTATTTTCTATCCCCGAAGAAGTGAATCCTGAACATCTAACATTCTGTTTGGCAAGAAGAAACACTATACAAACATGGTAAATGGTTTGCCAGCATATTTCATATCTGTTTATCGTTTGACCAATACATGGGTATTTTTTCAACAACAAAACAAACAACAACAGAAAACTTTAAACCAACTGTGATTGCTGCTTGGTTCTGATCTGTATAATAGTTCAGTCAGTTCACCGGACATTGATTTCGACTTAGCTGATAGTG